GGAGAAAAAATGGGATTTTTTTGGAGGGAAAAATGGGAATTTTAGGGGGAAAAAAGGGAATTTTGTGAGAATTCACATCTGGGCACAGCTGGAGGGGGCAGGGGGTGGGAGCTGCTTTTTGTCACTTTTTTGGGGGGGATATTTTGGATTTTTTTTTTGGCTTTTTACCACTTTTTTTTTGCTTTTTTTTTCGCTTTTTTTTGAGTTTTTTGGGGTTTTTTTTCTTTGCTTTTTACCAACTTTTTTTGGGGATTTTTAAGATTTTTTTTTTGCTTTTTTTCTTTGCTTTTTGCCACTTTTTTTCTTTTTTTTCTCTTTTTTTTTTTTTGTTTTTTACCACATTTTTGCTTTTTTCTTTTTTTCTTTTTACCGCTTTTTTTCCTTAATTTTTTTTTTTTACTCTTTTGGGTTTTTTCTTGCTTTTTTGGGTTTTTTTTTCTTTTTTTTTCTTTGCTTTTTCCCACTTTTCTTGGCTTTTTTTTTTTTGCTTCTCACCACATTTTTGGGGCTTTTTTCTGTTTTTTTTTGTTTTTTTCTTTGCTTTCCACCACATTTTTTCTCACTATTTTTTCCTTTTTTTTTTTTACTTTTTCCAGCTTTTTTTTTCCACTTTTCTTTTGCGTTTTTAACGATTTTTTTTTTACATTCCACCGCTTTTTTTCCTTTTTTTTAACAATTTTTTCACAATTTTCACACTTTTTTTTTTTCCCAGCCACTTCCAACTTTTTTTTTTTTTTTTCTGGTGTAGAAATTCCCTTTTCTTGATTTTTTTTTTACAAATTTCTCTTTTTTTGGAGTGGGAATTTGTGTGCTTTTGTAACTTTTTCTTTTTTTTGGGTTTTTTTGGGGGAAATTCTGCTTGGTTTGGGACACTTGGGGGAATTTTTTACACTTGGGAATTGTGGAGGGGAACAAAACACCAAAAATTCACAAAATTTCCAATTTTTTTTCACTCCTTTCCCACCCTAAACCCCAAAATTCCCTGAATTTTTTTTTTCCCCAACAAAACCCCCCCAAAAATCCCCAAATTTAATTTTTTTAAAGGAATATTCCCAAACCTCCCTTATTTTGATTTTTTTTCCCCCTAAAAATGCCCCAAAAATTCCCTTTTTTCACCTTTTTTCCTAAAACTGCCCCAAAATTTCCTAAATTTCTCTTTTTTCACTCCTAAAAAATCCCAAATTTCCCTTTTTTTCCTAAAATTACCCCAAAATTTCCTAAATTTCTCTTCTTCCCCCTAAAAAATCCAAAAAATTTCCCTTTTTTCACCTTTTTTCCCTAAAACTGCCCCAAAATTCCCTGAATTTCTCTTTTTTCCCCTAAAAAAACCCAAAATTCCCTTTTTTCCTTATTTTTTTCTAAAAATAACCCAAAATTCCCTGAATTTCTCATTTTTCCCCCTAAAAAGACCCAAAAAGTTCCTTTTTTTCTAAAATTACCCCAAAACTCCCTGAATTTCTCTTTTCTTACCTAAAAAAAATCCCCAAATTCTCTTATTTAATTTTTCAATAAAAAATAACCCCAAATTTTCTGATTTTACCTTTTTTTCCCCTAAAAATTTCCCTGAATTCCTTTTTTCCTCCCAAAAATTCCCTGATTTTTATTTTTTCCCCATTTTTTTCCACATTATTTATATTAAATCACAATAAAAAAATGAGAATAAAGGAAATGGCTCCAAATTCTGGTGGGGAAGGGGCACAAAAAAGAGAATTTTGGGGGCAGATTTGGAGATTTTGGAACATTTTAAATCCTGAGCCCAATTTAGGGGAGGATTTAAAGAAATAAATTTAATTTTAATTAAAGAATAAAGAACTTATTAAAATCAACACACCCCAAAAAAAGGGGTTAAAAATCTCCCCCCCAAAAAAAAATTTAATTTTTCCTAAAAAGGAATTAATTTCTTCCAAAAAGAAATCCCTTAAAAAAATTAAATTGCCCCAAAACTTGGAATTTTAAATTTTTCTAAAGAGGGATTAACCCCCCCTAAAATAAATAAAATTTTAAAAAAAAGAGAAAAACTTAAAAATAAATTAATAAAAATTAATTCCACCACCTAAAAAGCTCCAAAAGTGGGAACACTCCCAGCACCCCCAAAAATGACCTAAAATCCCCCCAAAAATGACCCAAAATCCCCAAAAATCACCTCAAACCTCCCCAAAATTACCTAAAATCCC